AGCCCGCTGACGATACTCATCAGCTAAAAATAATGTTCCCGTGGCCTTGCCAAAATTTTTCGAACGAATACGTATGTAATTAGACGAAACAACGGAACCATTCAACTAAGAGATTAGAGAACGATGACTAGGTCAATGTGCAATAGGAATTAAAAGTAAGAGGATTCGTATTTACTCAGCCTTGAAGGTAGTTGCGTTACATAAGTAGGTGGCACTTTTTTGCTATTGCTTCCAAGATATGTTGTTTTCAAAGAAGATTTATGTGCAGGATAAGTCACGCAAAATATTGTATTAGATTGTAACTTTGTTACACTGTTGTTCCTTATAGTAAGATAGATAAGACCAAAAGAATGTCTAGCGTAAGATTGTCATTAGTTCCTAAAGAGCCATAACTATTTTTATATTTTTTTCGATCATTTATCGAATCAAATAAATCATAGTATACAAGGTGATTCATAAATGGTGACCAAAACTGAAACCTCGTATTCTTTAGAGAATTTTAAGGGGTGTCTTTCTTATAAAGTTTTTATCTAGGACGCTTCGTTATAAAGATACAGGGTGTTAAACTTGAAAAAATATTTTTGATTTTTTTAAATAATTTAAAAACTAGTAAGTAAAATAATTTGAAATTGGGCACATGCATTTATGTAAACATTGTTCAAAATCTGACGGCTTTTCCTAATGAATCACAACAATTTATGTCATAACATTATTATAAACTGTTTAAAAAGTTACACTATTATTAATGGATACATTATAAATAAGTGATAATTCTTGCATAGGTAATTAACGGTGATCTCATATTCTCAAAAATGTAAATAAATAGTAGAGGATAAAAAAATAAGCACATGTATAATTAATTTTGGAAAAAAACGTGTTTCGTTTATGTAATCACCTAGGAAAAAAATAATAAGTTTCCGTAAAACGGTTCATCCTTAAAAGGATGGTATTAAGCATTACTCACATCATCTTCGCCATGAATAGAACTTGAAAGTTTAAGGTTACGATGTTTCACCAACAGTTCCTCCTTTATTTATATTGTTGTGAATCACCAGGTGGTGCAATCGAATTTTATTGATATGTCGGCGTGTATGACAGAACAACATCCTTGAGAAAGGAAAAATAATAAAAAAAATAAATTGCAGAGGTTCGTACAAATTTAATAGCGACAGAACCGGTCTAGGGAAGGACAGGTGAGCAACAAATAAAACCGAAAGAAACATAACAAAAAAAATACACTGAGGTGCAAAAATATATTAAGCAAAACAAGAGAAAATACTTTATAGATGACAGCGATAACATATCAACAAGATGTCACTTGCGTATGAGGCTATTCTTTCCGTGCATGCGCATTACGAATAACACTACAAATGTTGAATTTTTACTTTATTTAAATTTAGGAATATTCTTTTATGTCGTTTTTTGTAAGTTTTAAGCACATTAGTGTGTCTATTTTACCAAACACGTGTTGGTTGTTCTTAAATACTTCCAAATCCTTGTAAAAATAAATTAATTTGAAGTTGTTCATTTTTATAGTAGCTATGTAAGTAGTACACAAGGGTCAGATTCGTTCTGTACAATTTCAACTATGACAATTTGTTGCGGATTGCCTAAATATGTAACGTCACACTAAAAGTGTCTATTATCTTAATGAGCAATAAACAAATCTTAAGCTGACGAAATTAGTTAAAACAAATTCTAAAACAATTCTATAAATAAATTTCCCAACAGCGTGGGCAAAACGGTATTTTAAATAAAAAAAAATATATTCAACATAAAAAAATACGAAATTTTCGAAAAGCCTGGTGACTATCGTCACTTTTTAAATTCTTCATTCCTGGACTGAATCTCAGGAATGTGATGCAATTTTTATGTATCTGGAACATAACATGCAATAGCCTGTAAAGGCAATTTCAAATCGTTGGCTAACGCTGTTTAATCTACAAATAAATACATACGAGGGTAAATAGCAGAAACCTTTTACTTTATTTCGAGTTGCTCTAGTAATCTTGCTATATTTATTACGTTTGTAATGACTGAAATACATACAAAGTGAAACATTGGAACGCGTCAAAAATGAAACAGGTTTTTCGGTTTATATTTATTTGAGCTTATAAACATACAAACATATGAACCATTTGAGGAAAAGTAAGTTGCATGTTTTCTAGATACACCACTAGTTGGGACTGAGACTTAATTTTATCGCATTGAATTCCACTTTACTCATATAAATTTTGTTTCAATACTTTGATCTAACATTTTTTTTTATTTCAACGCAAAATACTGAGAGCGTGCGGTTGCATTTTGGTATAATTCCAATAGTATAAACTAATCAAGTCTACATCATGAGGTGCCAAATCCACGCTATTCAACTCAGCTATGCGGATAATTAGTTGGTAAATGTTCATTTAGATACCAGAGTTACCGAAGCGATTCGCGTACAATAATAATCGAAAGTTCAGGGTCAGGTGACTTTCTCTATATAGTTCACGATTTATAATGATAATGAATAACAATTAGCCTTTTTTCCCCCTAATCAGATCGGGCAGATGTCTCGCAAATTACTGATTTCTCTTTGGAAAAAGTATGCTTGGCGCGAAAATTATGGACTGGAGACGGTGATCATGGCTGAAAGACTGTTAACTATTAGTAGATGCCAATCACCAGCGACCTTAAGTGCTAAATAAGCGTTTTACTATCTCCTTCCCAAAGCAGTGCGAATTTTCTAATAAAAAAAATAAGAAATTCAGAAAAGTCGGTATCAAATCAGCACCCGAAATCTATATGGGAAAAAGTTATGAAACACCGGTGAGTGTCCACCTCGGGATTTGGCGGAGCCATCAACAGGTGTGATGAAACGTCGACTCTAATTTTCTGCAGTTAATTAATCTGGGCAATGTCCCTAGCTAGTGCGAAGTAAGGCAATTTACAAATATTATCTTCTGAATACAGCGTCAATTTCAAGTAAATAAACATACATATACAGAGTATAACTAAAATAGGTGACAGTGGATAATTTTGTCTAAATATTCCACTGTTGAAATGTAATATTTCCTATGTACGACGACTGTGATTGTATTATTTCACAGAACAGAAAAGCAAAATATCTAAAGCAGCTCTTAATTGATATATTAGCTTCGCTGTGGGAAACCCAGCGCACAGAATTCGTCAAGCGTCACCGCAGAATCATCAAAACATTACTGACATAATTTTAAACATCCATTCACTGGATGCTACTCTGCCATGATAATGTCATTCGTTCTCTTCGTCTCCGATAATTTCATCGCGTCGAATCGTCGAATTAAAAAAAAATCGTTAATGAAATCAAGAGCAATATCCGAATGTTACAAATTGTACTCATGAAAAAGTTGTCAAGCAAGAATAAGCGCGAATTATTTTCAACAGTTACAAAAGTTTCGACTTGGCAAACTTCAATTTATATGTTGTAGTTAAGTGAGCGAAATCGTGTAATAATTAATACTCTAGTAGGTCTTTATGAACGTTTACGACAAGCTATATTATCGTTTTCGCTATTTTAATTTTATCACACGATTTCACTTTAAAGCAACAACCCCTTTCACAAATGCATGTGTACATGTTTCATTCGGGTCAGTGCACATGAAACAAAATTATAGGGTAACTGAAACCAAATTTAGTTCTGCTATTCGAAGTGTCAAACTCAAAGAGTAGAAGTGTTATTGGTACACTCTATATATCCAGTTCAATGGATTATGTAGTGTAATTACAATAGACTCGAGCATCTGGTCGTTAGCATTGATGTTTTTTTTTGTACTTTCTACATGTATGTTCTATCGTTAGGCTACTTTCGCAGTTGTAAATTAGATTATAATGCTAATAATGCTCGTTCTAGTTTTAACAATACCCGGTGAAAATGTTTTAATTGTTATTCGCTCAGTGAGAGTTGTCCAAAATTCATGAGATGATGTTATCATCCGTTTGGAAAGGTTCTTTATCTTTCGTCAGATTCAGACTATCTTCACTGTATTTCCAACTTACAATAACTGGAAAGTACTTGCTGCAGGAATGGTATGTGTGTATATGTTAAACTGTCCAGTTGGTTTTGACCTTAACAAACCTACTGCTTCTGTCTAGATGACTGTAAGAATGATTTTCTCAAAATAGGTAATGTATGTCTCTCGCTCCCCGACTTGTTTCTATTGCAACTGTAGCTACTTTTCCTATGCCATATGGGTATATTGGTATAGAAATCAGTTGCATAAGTGCCTGTTTCAAGCTATGAATAGAAGTGGATGTCAGTAGCCTTATTATTAGCACATCGTAGTACGATCGAGAAAATGCGTCGATTTAAATTTATTAACGTTATTAAATATCTATCATATCAAATAAGATAAAGAATCTTTTTTTAATGTCCAGAATGTGTCGGAAAGCATGTGCGATTGTCCTTGAAAAGATTTGAATATAAGACAAAACATTCCTTTCGACTTAAATCGATTTTCGAGGTACAGAGTTTTTAAGTTTTTGTTTTTCTTTCGAAACAAGCAAATGTAAGTTGGTGATCGCTATTGTCTTGATTCTATTCAGGTTAATTTTATTTCACTTAAATTCTTCTGAATGACTCGAAAAGAGTTATCTGCACTTTTGCACAAAACATTTTTTGCACAAGTAGTCTTAAACAATTAAAAAAGCTAGTAGGCCTCTCCAAGGGCATCAGATTTCTTTAAAAAATTGCTAATGCGTTTTTCCAAAGATTGAAACATGTATGAAAAATGATTTAGAGTTTACAATTTTGAGGAAATTATAGTTTCCGTGTTCATAAAAAAATATATCTGTATAATTTGAATTTCCATTCATAAAAATCGATGATATTTTTGTTATAGGCAACACCTTGTATAGCCACGAATGGACTACATTAAAAAAACTATCGTTTGTTGTTCCTTGCTCTTTAAAAAATCAGAATTTATAAAAAAAATACTGCCATCCTCAAACAACTTGATAAACGGTACTATTCTGTTACTTACCGAAAAAGGCTAACGCCAAAACACAAAGTTCACTCCTCATTTCGCGAACTCAAGTCACTGTACCCGTAAATGCACTTTAGTGTACCGCTCGCGGTGTAGTGAAGAACTCTTGGTCGATCTTCTGGTTTTCAAACTGGGCAAAGACGGCCGAGTGGTTGCTTTGAAAGTGTTCCCACCACCGCGCCATGCAGCGGGATGATATAACCGCGGTCGGGTTGGGAGGGCAGGGGATTTGGTTTTCCTTCGCTTTTTAAGGGGATTTAATCGTCGGCGGTTGGAAAATTATAGCCAAAAAAAAATTGAGATAAAATAAAAATAATGAAGTCAAGAAGTATGTCGAGAAAAAGTTGGTAAATGCAATAATATTGGTTTTAGTACTTGCTAGACACAGGGAAGGAGAAGAGAGATAACATTTCTGATATACAGAGTGTTTAAAATATATGTACAGTGTGTCCCAAAATAAAGGAACAAAATTCATTTTTTTTTCCAGTAGAGATTTAAAAAAATCACTGAAACAGTTCTCTTAAATCCAAACCAAAGAACTACCTTGTGAGTAAATGTTTTTACAAAGTAGCTGATATATTTACTTGGTAACAATGTAATAGATTTTTTATATTTATGTATTATTGTGTTGTTATTGTACATTATTTGTTTGTATCTTTGTTCATTGTTTTTACATTATTGTTTGTAACAAATATTTGTATTGACCTATCCAATGTCATTTTTGATCTCAATGGATTAAATAAATTCTATTATTATTATTATTAAGATTATAAGGGTCGACGCTCGAACAGCTGCTATGACGAGTCCGCAGAGTTCCTATAGCAGTCTCCGCCATAGTCTGGACATTTTGCTTCTCCGGATTTTGGTCATCTTTAGAATTTGTCCGCCTCAACCGGATTGTTGACTTGTAACTGGATATGGTAGTTTGTGTTCGTGTTGCTCTACCTCAGTTTGAATTTTCATGAATTTGGGAAACTTACTTTTCACTAAAAGGAGTATTTCTTGATCTTTTAGATATGTCTGTCTTACCATTTGAGATATACCCATTCTATCTAATTAAATTCAAATATAATACAACATAATCCAATGCTTACTTAGGAAAAACCGTAATGTCTGTTATTAAAATGAAGGAAACAGAAGAATAGACATTTCCAAATTGAGGTCAATTATTATGAATAGTTGTTTATACCTACAACATAACAGGTACAACATGCTTGCACCTATGTGTTATTATTGTTAGTTATTGGTAGCTATTTATTACCCCTATATATCAAGTAGGCATGTACCTATCTGTCTTAATAATTCTAGGTATTGCCCGATGGCATTTAATAATATTTTTTTCAAACTACCGTATTAATATAGCTAAAGTTGATTATTTAAATCACTGAAATAAGCTTTTGACATGCAGATAATTTACTTGTGCGTAACTACATAATTTATATAAAAAAATTGGGTAAGGTTAATTCAAAATTGCAGAGATCTTGCTTTCTTAAATGTCCCACCCCGATCACAGGAGACCATAAAAAAGCACTTTTTTCAAAATATCACCGTGCCTAACATGGAAAACAGATATTACCGCGTGCAACAATGAATTACCTTGTCTTGGTTCCCATCTTATCAACAGGCCATGAGGCCATTATTGCCTGTAAGCTGGACATGAATTATTTAAATCTTTCCCAGTATTTTCGACGAATAATGCTTATAATTAACTCCTATCGCGGTCAGCCTTGAGTGCTGAAAAAACTCGAATATACGACCAGAAAAGCAATCTTTCGATACGAGGATGGAATAATTTGCCTATAAATATGCGCGCTTTTTATTTTTTATCTGTTGCATCCTTGTTTTGGAAAAAGAACTGGTTCCTTCGTTTAAAGCAGAACACAAACAAAGCATGACAATTTCGAAAAGTTCTAAAATTTGTATGATTAGATAAAATACTACCATGGTACTGAATTTGGCTTATAATGTTTCATGTATGACACAGTAGATGGCGAAATGAATTGCATAAAAGAAATGACAGATGGTGTTTCATAAACACACATTTTCAATTCTATATCTTTCAGCTTGGTCAATATTTTTATTTATTTAGTAACTATATTGTTATTATTATATCGTTAATTAATTGTTGAATTACAATGGAATGTTTATAACGTTGTAACAAGGTAAAAAGCATGGCAAGTATGTGCGCAATGGGCTGTTTAATGTCTTATAATTTTAAACAGGCAGCCACTTTTTCGTTTAATTTGATTTTAATGATAATGAACCGTATAAAATAGCAAACGGATGACTAAACAACTATCTAAGCAAGCTATGGGGAGTACTGAGGATTGTTAAAAGAAATACGTTTGTGTGTTAAATAAATATTGTCTATAATGTCTGGTAAAATAAAATGTTATACATTTCTCTTTACATAATCGTGTTGGTGAAACAGAACACACTGTATATAACCTAAGACATTACAAACGTTAATTTTGCAACTGTTACAACTAATTTAATGAGTTCTTTGGTTAAATATTAAGAGCATGGATTTCTAATTAGCCTAATTTCTTTGAAACGTTTAAATAAATGTGGTGTATTTTTCGATAAAAGCTTTTAACGATCTTGGTTATCGTCAAACTGATTGTAAAGGAATATATGAATATTAAAAATTGGCAATAACAATAAAAAGATAATGGTGAACTGTTCGTTGCTAGAAACATAATGTTTTTGTAATTATATACAGGATGTTTTGCAAAAAATACCATACATTAAGGGGCTGATAGACCATGTAGAAATAAAAATATTATTTCCGATGGACCATTGTCCTATCGTCTTTTGTTTTCGATGAGAAAAAAACAGTAGGCGAAAAGATATATGATAGGATATACGAAAGATGGGTACTTTTGGAATAGGTTTGGAATTTTATACAATTATTTCCTTCTCAATTGAATCATTGAACAGTTGAAAAAATGAAAGGACAATTAAAAAAGAATACGTTGCAGTACATCACTTACCTGTATCTAAAAATAAACTATTAAAAAATTCTCATTGAAATATCGCTGTTGATTAATATTCAGTGCTTACGATGCCTACAACGAACATTTCATGGTCAATTGGATGTTCAATATCCATAAAAGAACCCGGCGTGTTTTTCTAAACAAATCCTCATGATAATATGCAAATACGTATAGGATTGAATCGAATCGAGTAAATTTCTAATTTCACTTTTTTAATAAATGTAAGTTTTGCAACGCCGTGGTGGTTTCGACAGCTCCAGAGGTTAATGTAAAAGTTTGTTGACACAGGTAAGTGTCGGTTTTCAACACGACAGTTGCTGCGTAAGTTCAAAGTATGTTATAATACGACCAAGAAAAATGGATTTAGAGTTTTCTATACGGGGTGTCCCAGTGTCAGCGTAAGGTTAAAATTCTTATAAATTATTTTTTCGCGGTGCACTCTCATTGAGTTACAGGGTGTTGTTTAGAAAAAAATAATAACAACTTTCCGCAATAACTCAAAAACCCTTTCAGGAATTTTAAGTAAGTTTTGGGTGAAGTGCACATCTATTAAAGGTCATTAAAACTACATGGTGCTTATTTCGATCTGACGCCAGGGGAGGCCTAGGCCGACTTGTCCTCAAGGTTATGTCTTCATAACTTTTGCATATCCTAGTTTTATGTAATTTGATTAAGTTTTCCTGAATCCGCAATCGATTCTGATCAAAAAATGTGCTCTTGTTTCATAACTCAAAAATAAACCGATTCCGAGTAAACTGCATTAATTCGTAGAAAAATTCATGCAAAGATTTTATTTGTTGTTATCTAGTAGGTACCTGTCATTATAAAAAACAAAGTTATTTACAAGGATACATGTCAAAATTAATTACAGTATTCGAAGTTATGAGAAATTAAGTTTACAAAACAACAAGATATTAAGTATTATCAAATTTTCCAACAACGAATATGCGGATATGATATTTGTCTACGGTTCCTGTGATGGAAATTCATTGGTGGCCTCACGAGAGTATCTACGCAGATTTCCAAACAGAAGGCAACCTTCACAGCACGTATTCCAACGAGTTTTCCAAAGAGCCCGTGAGACCAGGAGTGTTAAAATTGGAAATACCAAAATAAGAAACAATTTGGAAGATACAAACATTTTACTCAACCCCCAATGCCATTTAAATATTTTGGGGTGACGCTTACCCTTGCTTGGGGGTGAAAGTGGCGGAGTCAAAAATGCCAGCAAAAAATATCCCCTTTAATCTAAAATCGATGGGTCTGAGCGTTTTTCTACAATCTTGACGCAGTTCCTGAAAATGGCTCTGTTCCGTTTTCAATTGACCACCCTGTATATTATCAACTGTTTAAACTTTAAGATTCGTTTTCTTTAAAACTATTATGTGATAAATCTCCCTTTTCTCATGTGTAGTATGTGGGAATTGAACTGAAAAATAAACTTTTTTCTTTGACGATGTTTGAAATGATGAGATTTATAAGAATTTTTAAATAAGTAGGTATACGTATTTTAATTTGTTAAAATCCGGGCCTGTAAATTTCGTCACCGAGCGTAAAATTTTAAGCGACTGGGAAATAGGCTGTCGGCCGATTGGCAACAAAATTAAAATTTCATAAGTCTCCGAGGAAAACAATAGAGCTTTCTCAAAACATTTGTTCTCTCATTAAGATTTTTATCTTGTCTATCTCAGCAAAGATGGTCGCGCTGTACAAGGTGATCACGCAAAACAATTATTTCTCGGAGAAGCAACGAAACGACACAATATAATATTTTTGCCAGGTTAATATACAGGGTGATTCACAAATGGTGGCCAAAAATTGAGTTTTAACTAGAAAATCAGGCTTTTTTCGAAAAGCATAAGAGAGTAGTAATTTGTAGAAAATTGAAAGACGAATCAGAAAATATCATGGTTGTAGCAATGGCGTACTACTTATTTTATTCAGAAAAATATGCCATTCAATCAATAATTTCCAATTTACACAAGAACTGTTGAGTTTGGGTATAGCGAACTATAGTACCATTTTAAAGTAAATTTAATTGTGCATCCATTAATGTAATAATATACAGGGTTTACCGGTTGAAATATTTGAGTAACTTCAACTTTAACATCACTATATTGGCCACACGTTTTTAAACACTCTGTAT